CCTGCAGGTGATGCCGACGGTGGAGACGTAGCTGGTGCCGCCCACGGTGACGTAGCCCACGTGCATGGCGGTGATGTAGCCGCAGGGGCAGCCAGTCATGCTCTCGGCGGTGCCGTTGCCCAGGGTCCTCTGCTCGAAAATGTGATACGGCGGCTGCAGCAGCGGGGCGCAGAGAGGGGGGGGCGTGGCGGAGGTCCAAGGATGGGCACCTGCTCGTCGGCTTGGCACTCGCAGACGGGAGGGCACGGCTGGCGGCGCGGGCGCCGCAGGCGTGGCGCGTGGCAAGGCACGCTTGGCAAGCCTCGAGGCGGAAGGGTGCAAAGCAGCTGCGCGCCAACCAGCCATGGCTTCCTCTCCAAGCAGCTTTACGAGGCAAGACCCCACACTCACTGGCGGAGGGCGGGGTGGCGGGGAGGGAGGAGGAGAGGGTGGCGGGGCTGGGGAGGGAGGCGGTGGAGAGGGCGGTGGGGGAGCAGGTGATGGCGGCGGCGGAGGTTTTGGAGATGGAGGTTTTGGAGATGGCGGGTTTGGAGATGGGGTTTTTGGAGATGGAGGTTTTGGAGATGGCGGCTTTGGAGATGGGGGTTTTGGAGATGGGGGTTTTGGAGATGGCGGCTTTGGAGATGGCGGCTTTGGAGATGGTGGAGGGCGAGGAGAAGGCGGCGGGCTTGGAGGTGGTGGAGGCGGAGGAGCGTACTGCATTACAAGAGTGTCAGATTGGTAGCTCATTGTGACTGTTCTTCTTCACCTTCAAGTGCAATTCACCTTTAAATGCAAGCTTTGCGTAAGCTGCTAAGCTTGCCGCCCGCTGGCAACCATGACGGCACCCCTCCCTTTCGCAATAGGCCCTCACCACGTCGATGGATGCCCCCGACTTCTGCACAACGTTTGCGTTTGCGTCTTTGTACAGGCACAGGAAGTAGCGGTGGGTGATGGGCTGCCCTTTCCACGCGTCGTCAATGGTGAAGGTGTACTCGGCGGTGTAGCGGTTGCTGGTGGTGTTGTAGGTGACCTTGGACGGGGTTAAGGTTGCGATGCCGGGGTTGTACGAGTTGCCCGAGCACGTGGAACCGCCGGTGGGGCCGCAGAGCTGCATCTGGGCGGGCCAGTTCTGTACCCGGGTCAGAGCGTACTGCCCCTCGATGATGCACGTCGCCTTGACCTGCGGGCGGCCAGGCAGGGCGGCGGCAGGTTGGATGCGGTGAATGCCTGGCTGGGTGGGCAAATGAGTTGGAATTGGAGAGCATGGCGCCCATCCAGCGCAGCATGCCCTGCGGCTAGGCCCGCGACTGCGAGACCTTGTGCGGTGTCGGCGTGAGGCACGCACCACGCACGTAGGCGCACGGCTGTGACTCTGCGCCGCACCTGCACTTTGTTGCTGGCGCCAGGGTAGATCACTCCCGTAACGTTGCTGGTTGAGTTGCTGGTAATGATGGTCTGTGCCGTGCCCAGGGAGTAAGGGGGCGGTGGTGGCCTGCAAGCGAGGAAAAAGAGTGTTGAGCCGGACCTGCATTCATGCATATGCCCCTGATGCTCCACAACATGCGACTCACAACAGGCCCAGGAGGGCCGGTCTGTGCAGCCAGTCGGCGTGCATGCACCCACCGGGGCGGGCTCGGCGGCCTGGGTGGCGGCCGGGGCCTTGGGGGCGGCGGGGCTGCAGCAACAGGGCCAAGCCAAGGCAGAGGGTGAGGACACGCATCCAGAGAGCTGGGGCTTGCACATCATTCACACAGCTTCAGCCCAGGTCAAGCAAAGCCAGCTGGTTCCCTTACATTTACAGGGAGGGTTGGCACAACTGCCGGGCGGCGGGGGGCGCGGCGGGGGGCGCGGCGGACGGGGCGGCGGTCGGGGGCGGGGCGGCGGTGAGCGTGCCTTAGGAGCACCCTGCAAAGGGCAGTGGGGCAGGGCCGGGGCCAGCTACGCATGAAGCAGATGGAGGCGTGCGCGCGGCTGCCTTCAAAAGGTGTGCTGTACAGCTTACAGCCCCGCAAGGGGGGTCGCTCATGCCAGGGCTGGGCGTTGTGTCAAGCTCGCGCCCAGCATCCCTGCTCACCACCACGAAGCTGTTGCCAGCACGCAACTCAGCTGCCCCACTGCATACGTAGTAGCATTGGAGATCTGAAGGAAGGATGGAGAGGGGGAGGACGCGGGACGTTGGGGGGTGTGCAACCGTTCGGGGCCTCCCTGCTGCTCCCCCGCACATTGTGAGCCTCGAGGCCCAGCTGGCTCTGCAGAGGCGCTGCCGCCCGCATCCCCAGTCCCCCAGCCAGTCCCCCAGCCAGGCAGGACTCACAGTAGTGTGTGTTGGCTTGCTTCCATGCATCGTTCACGCTGAACTGGTAGGTGGAGGAGTAGGTGGGAGGCGCGCCGCCATAGGTCACATTGGCTGCAGAGGCAGCCAAGCGGCGCAGGCAGGCAGCTCGGCTTTGGCTGCTGGGTTGGCACGAGGCAGCGCGCAGGCGAGGCGCAGGCGCAGGCACGGCACTGGTGCAAGGCGCCGGCCGCGAGCAGCAGCAGACAGCATTGGACAGCACGCAGTAGCCAATAGGCTGGCAGCAGATGATAAGGGTTGGCTGGCTGTGGCAGAAAGCTGGCTGGCTGGCTCACCAGGGGCGTAAGTTGTAGGCCCGGAGGAGTTGTACGCCGGCAGCTGGCCGGTGTCACAAGGAGAGTGGCCGCACTCCGCCAGCTGCGCGCGCCAGCAGGCTGTGGTGGCCTGGCCGCCCGATCCCGTCACAGCGCACTTCGCGGTGATCTGTTTCGGGGCAGGTGGCAGGGGCGGGGGGAAGGCGGCGTTGGGAGAGGCAGATGGTTCCTCCCATCTAGATCTGTTGTTCCCTCCCCAGCGCCCCCCCAAACTCACACACACACACACTCACACCACACACACGCAGCTGCCACCTGAACGGTCTCATGGCACTCATGCACCACAGTAAAATCATGACTGTGGCAGCAGCCTCAGATGCATGCCGACCTATGGGGCACATAGGGCAAAGCAGGCAACAGGACGCACCCCGAGCTTGTTGTCAAGGGTGGGGTTGAACATCCCATCCTGGGGCGTAATCGTCATGGTTCCGACCCTGCAGGGGTGTAGGGAACAAACTTTGCCAGCAGTGAGGTCAAACAGTGGGGTTGGCCTTGCCGGGCCTGACTGCTGAACATAAAAAAGCAGACAAACCATACCCGGCGCGCGCGGCACTGCCGCCGACGTCCCGGGCGGCGGCGGCGGTAGGGTCTGGGAGGGGAGCCTACCCGAACGTCTGCAGGAGGTTTCTACGCCTCCCATGTCGCTGGTCGGCCGCAACCTCGGCCAGAGTGCACAAGGGCAGCAGCATGACCAGCAGGCAGATGTCCATGTGGAGTGCCATGGCCATTAGCTGATTGGCGTGCTGGCACCAAGTGGTCTCAGAGCACCCACGCCGAGGGAGACTGCGGGGTGTCTCCCAAACCCAGTCCGTCCACGGCCACGGCAAACGAGATGCGACCGGGGGCCCGACCAGCAGGCATGCGATGCCTGGTGGGGCACCGGGAGCCTCTGGTCGGTGCAATTGAAGGTCGCAAGGGGTGCTGAGAGTACGGGTTCTTAGGAGGTGCGGACGCAGCTGCGTCCCGGGCCAGGATCAGAATTGCATTGATGGGGCCAAAAGGTCTCAAAAGGGGACCCCCCACCATGCATATGCATGCATGGCCAGCGGATCCGCGGCACGAGATTGTGTCACCTGGTTCGTGCGCCAGGTGGCTTTGGACTCGAGGATTGCAACGTGTGTGTGGCTGCCGCTGCCGCTGCTGGCAGTGCCGCATACGCATAATGGCCCAGTATGGCGCCGTCGCCGCGACGGCACCGCCTGGAGCGTGGCACTGAACAACAATACAGGCAGGCGGCACCTGCATGGCAGCAGCAAGCAGCATCCGCTGAGCCCGCCCCGCAACTGGCGGAAGCAGCAGGCCGCGGGGGCGGCCAGGAGCAGGCGTTGCGCATGCAAACACATCACCTGCTCGGCTACATCTGCAGGCCCGTGGCAAGCAAGTTCCAAGGCAGCTCAAGCCAGGGGACCTGCCTGTGTGAAAAGCGCTGTCAGTTGCTGGTCGGAGAGCAGGGTAGTGGCGCTGCCGCTGCTGGCCCCTTGCAGCGCCGCTGCCACAGGACGCAACCCGGGCAAGGCACGCGAATGGGAACCTGCGCTGCATGACAGTTGGTGCTGAGCTAGCCATCGATGTTTCTCGCTGGCTGGTGTCCTACGTGACTGTGATGTTGGACACAATGCACTCCAGTGTTAGGCATGCCCCCACCTGGCCAATCGTTGCAGTGATGCCCGGGTGTGTCGGTGCCAGCCACGTGTCCAGCATCAGCTCTGGCAGCGGTCAGGCACGATTCCAGGCAATCGATTTGCAGTATTGGGTTGGTAAGGAATCGCAACAGGTAGCACAATGGGAGCATTCGGGGCGCGATGGAGACATTCTGGCAGCAAATGGTAGATAGGTAGGTACATATGATGACATGAATGATTCGTGTGTTGCAGCTGCGGCGGCGGCGGCGGCCGAAGCTCTGCACCCTCACTGGTGGCAGTGTGCGGGCTGCTCCACACGTATGAGGGTGAACTCGCTGCAGCAGCCCTGCACCGACTGCAGCAGCGGGCGCGGCAGCAGGGGCCAGAAGTGTGAGGTCCGGGAGCAGGCAGGGAGACGGCAGGCGGAGCACAGCACCTGCGCTGCTGGCGAGCTTCCAATGTGCGGGTGCTGTGCTGTAGCTGCCCTGGTGCTGCCCGCAACCGCCAGCCATGCCCATCCCAGTCCCGCCCCAGCCTCACCAAGGGGTTGTCCTCCCGGCTGACCAGGGCAAAGCCCAGGTCCGCCAGGTGGAAGAAGACCACGGCCAGCTCAGCCAGGCTGAGCCGGTGCAGGGGCCAGATCAGGTGGCCCCAGCTGTCTGGATTCCGGTGGAAGGGGGTCATTTGGTACAAGTGCTGGCGGGGGGAGCGGCGGGAGCGGCGGGCAGCAGGGCAGGGCAGGGTTGGAGCGGCGCAGATGCGGCCACGCGGCAGGCGGCGGCCACAGCAATGCCGCAGCGATCGCGGCAGGCACCCGCAGGCCATGCGGCAGGTGCTCACGTTCCAGTGCACTTCCAGCGAGATCTGCGTGGGGAAGCCGCAGCTCTTGAGCCACTGGAAGCCTGCGGGCGAGCGTTGCGGGCGATGGGGGGGCGCTGCTCAGCGCATGGCAGCCGCTCTTTCAATTCTGGTGCTGTGGCTGAACCTGTGGCGGCAGCGGCCTTCATGTGCCCAGCTGGCTTGGGCAGCACGGCCCTCAGCCCCATGTTATCGCCACCTGATCCCACCTGACAGCACCTCGAATTCGAAGCCCTCGATGTCCATCTGCAGGCACGCAGAGCCAACCATGCCGGCAGCGAAGGTGTGCACCACTGGCCTGCCACGTGCAGCAGGCCAAGCCGCGGGCAGGCCCCGACAGTCCGGGCCAGGCAGGCAGGCTAAAGACGCCGCAGCCTTGGACACGCGCCCGCATCCAGCGCCCACACCTACCAGCACCCGCGCCTGCCGCCAATGCAAGGTTACCCACCTTGAGCACATCCACCCGCGGGTGACCGTTCATGGCCATGGCGGCATCCAGCCGCACAAACCGCTTCTGCTCATCCCGCACCCCGTTGGTGTTGCCCAGGCTGCAGCGCAGGCGTGGCGAGGCGTGGGAGTGCGCACGCAGCACCACGGCACGCAGCAGCCCTGGGGCGCTGTGCAGCACAGAGAGGGAGGCAGGCGGCTGCCCGCTGCCGTCGCCGCCTCTCGGCAGCCCGCACTGACCACAGGTGATGGAAGAAGTGGCGGCCCTGGTAGATGCTCTGACCGTGCGAGTTGCAATCGAATGTGTGCACCTCGCACCCCTCCTGCAGCCAGCAGCCACAGGCAGCGTGTCGGCCACTTGACGCTGGCGGCTGCTGCCTCGCACCGTGGCGGCAGTCTTCGCCAGAGGCTGTGCCAGCCTCTGGCAAGCCCAGCACCGGCGGCAAATGGGGCGCAGCCCTGCCCTCCCAGCAGCACAGCCTGGCCACTCGGCCCACCTTGAGCATGGCAATCTCAAAGTCCACCTGTCGGTTGCTGCCCACGCTGTACACCACACACGTGTGCCCCGGCCTCCCGCCCCCAGACCCCGCCACCTGGCACAGCCACTTGCCGCCGTCGCCATCGTCCCCCAACCGCCGAGGCAGCTGCCCGTCGGGGCAGCGCACGATCGGGTTGAAGAGGGCAAAGCGGTGGAAGCCCGCCGGCTCCATCCTCCTACAAGGCAGTTGGGTGTGCACACAGCATCGAGGCAACAAAGCATCAGCGGGCATGGTTGAGTGACTGACCGGCAACCAATGCTGCCGCTGCCACTGCCGCTGCCGCTCCCTGCCTTCTAGGCAGGCGTCCTGCCCCCGGGCTCGCCTCACTGTATTGCTGCTCCTGCCGTAGTATGCTGCAGCCTCGGTGGCCTTGTACAGCTTCAGCATGCGCTTCAGCAGGGAGGAGCGCCAGGTGGCGAGCGCGTCGCTGCCGTTGCGGTGCCACTGCGTGTCCTGGCTGAGCCGCCGCACCACGCCGCGCTGCTGGCTGACCGCGAGGAACAGCGTGCCGCCGCCTTGCAGGCTGTGGTGGCTGAGCCCCAGCAGGGCCACGGCGGCGAGCAGGAGCGCCACAGGCAGGGTGACGCGCAGGCGGCAGCGCCCCGCGGCGCCCTTCAAGCGCGTCAGCATCGCGGGGCGGGGCGAGGGCATAGCCTGCTGGGTGCTGCAGGAAGGTGGGGGGTAAGGGGAAAACTGGCAGGCAGGTTAGAGCAGCTGGTGCAAGGCAACAGGGCGGGGCGGGAGCGGAGGCGGCGGCCAGTCTGGTGGCGCAGGTGAGGGCGCTTGTGCGCCGATCTCTGTAGCTCGGCTGCACCAACATTATTTCGTTGCAGCCCGCAAGACAGGGACCCGTGCACTTGAATTGGACGCCACTGGGCGGTCAGTGCACGCTGAGGGACGTGCAGGGGCATCAATCGGCTCCGATCGGGATCCTACCTTCAGCCAAATCGCCCATTCCCAATCCACGGTGCTGTGGGTCGTGGCGAGACTCAAGAAGCCTCCCGTTGCCCTGTTGGCATGGACAGCAGGTTGAAACGACGAAGTTTGGATAACAATTGTGCGCACCGTTGCCAGTCGAGCGGGTGGAGTGCCGTTCGGCTTCGAAGTACCGCCGCCCCGGCGGTGGGGCAGTGCGCTTCTCTCTTTTTTCGGCGGGTCCATCCTGCTATGTCCCGCGTATTCTCTTCTTCTACACACACAATTTGTTCTATGTGTGAACCGTGACGCGATTACCGGCGTGCAGTGCCTCAGGTCTTGGAGCGCTCTCCTCAGCATCGTGAAATCAAGCTTTGCGAAATAGGCGTGTACATTGGGCAACTGTAAAGTTGCCCCATCGCAGCAGGACTGCAGTGCATATGCTGATGGGCGGTAGCGGCATGCCGCCGCCGACGCTCGCTTTCCGCCACCCGCCCTCGTCACGGCTGCAGAGAACGAGGCGCAGCACATACGGCGGCGGCCCAGCAGAAGACTGGCATCTTCCTGGCAGTCTCGATGGGCAGCCGCCACGAGCTGCAGCTGCCGTCGCCGCCTGCCGGCGGGCCCGCGCATGGCCAGGTGGACCCCTGCACCTATGCCGCCCTGTTGCCCGGCACCGCCGCCTCCCACCTCACGGCCGCAGTGGCCTCCGTGTCTACCAAGCTCTGCGATTCCCCGCTGGTCGTAGTTTACGACAAGCGTTTCAGGCCGCCCGGGGTACACAGAATGCGCAGGCAACGACGATCACCGCTGCCTGGCGCCGGGCTGGGGGCTGGAGATTTTGGGGCCGGCACTGGTGCTGTTTGCTGAGCCAGGCAAAGGTTTCAACATGGACCGTTTCAATCACATAGGCAACGTGGTCAGAGGCCCGATGATGCATGCGTTCGGTAATGGGAGGGCGCCCAGCGCAGACGACTGGGAAATCTGGCGACTCAAGATGGCGGCGCAGATGGGAGTTTGAGGCGGCAGAGGCGTCCCCCTGATGTTTGCAGCACAACATGCACACCACGACTTCTGTATTTCAGGGCAACCCTAAATGACTGTTTTTGGAAACAGCTGCCACATCGAGCAGCCTGACCGTCAGCCCTGCTCCACACCTTGGGCCAGCAGGAAGGTAACACACACGAAACTACACGAAATTACAATGAAAGGAAGACATGTGTTCATGAATAGAGCCTTGGGGTGCTGAGCGGCTGGACGGGTGTGCGCCGCAGTGCGGTTGCGACGTGGTGAAGCATAGTAGGCAGGCAGGCAATGGGGCCTATTGTACATTGCATGGATCAAATGGGCAGCAAGATGAGACGGAAGATGAACACAAGCAATGAGTGGGGGCGTTCTATGTTGTTGATCGTTTCTTAGGGCTGGGGAGGCAGGGCGGCGCCATGCCCGGGCGCCTTTTGGCAGGGCAGCTGTTGCTGTGCGCGCAGCTAGGTGCCTGAGGGCCTGCCGACCCGCCCACAGCGTAAGGCGCCTGCCTGTGTGTTGCAGGCAGGTGCCTGCTCAAGGTCTCCAGGCGCTGCCCTCCACAAAAGCCCGCACAAAGGCATGCTGCTCATCGGTTTCTGGAGAGCGGCGCCCGCCTGCAGGGCCAGGCAAACGCAGCCGAGCACACACAGGGTTGAAAGGGCAGCTCTGTGGGTGCGGGGGCAGTGTCACGTGGGGCTGGCAAAGGCCTGTCCAACAGACCGCCACAGCTGGCAGCTGCTCCTCAGGAAGTCCCAGCAGCGGCGAAAACAGAGCAGCACAGCAGTAGCCCAGCGCGCCACCGTGCACACACACACACACGCACAGCCCGCCCCCTTCAAAGCTTGCTCACCGTCCTGGCGCGTGTCAAAGGAGCGCTGCACCCGCTCCAACGCCTCATCCGCCGACAGCCCATACAGCTGGGCCAGCAGGGTGGCGCCCACCAGGCCCGCCCGCCCCCGCCCGCCCCAGCTGCATGGGTGGTGGGGAGGCGGCGTAGCCAGGCACAGGGTCGGCCGTGGTGGCAGCGGCAGAGGGGTGCGCGGTTGTGGCAAGCGGCCTGTGGTGGAGCGTGGCGGCTGCTTCCTCCTCTGCTCATGAGCACCCCCCCGGGGCATGCATGCGCCGGGCAGCCGGCGGCAGCACACCGCTAGGCTACGTTGCCCGCTGCCTTCACCCCCCGACTCACCAGTGCACATACAGGCGCTCGCCGCGCTCCAACCTCTGGGACAGCTCTGCCAGCAGCAGCCGCAGCCTGCAGGGGCAGCGCGCACGCATGCGCGTGCATGTGGCATCTTGGCGGTGGCAGCCAGCAGCAAGGAGACCAGCTGGAGCCTGGTGCACGGTCGGGAAAGGCGCGCCACTGCCGCCACAGTCGCCACCAGTCCAGTCCCTCGCACCCCCAAAACAGCAGCCCCTCCCACCCACCCCCGCACATCCACCACCCACCCGTCCGCCTCTGGGATGCTGAGGTCCACTATTGGAAAGTGGCAGAAGTCGAGCTGGATGCGCGCGCGACTCTGCCAGGCGGCCCGGTGCCTCCTGGGGGGCAGGTAGCGGTCGAGCTCGGGCGTGCGCAGCGCCGCCACCTCCTCCATGCTGGGCGGCGGCGACAGGGCAGAGGCCAGCAGGGTGGCGGGGGCGCGGTACGGCACAAAGCCGTCCACCCCGCAGATGCGCATCGCGCCCTGCTCCGGGATCTCGGCCTGCGGAGTGGGTGGGAGGGTGGGAGCGTGCGGGCGTGTGGGTGTGGGCGCGGGTGGCAGGGCGGCAGCGGCGAGGGGCCGGCGCGTGGGGCGAGGCAGCATGGGCGTGGTGGTAGCGCGGAGTGCGCCGTGTGGGTGCGGCTGGGTGCTGGAATCATGCGCACGGCTGCCCCCGCCCAAACGCTCCTCTGCCCAGACGCCGCTCTCAGCCCCCGGCTGGGCCCCCCGATGCATAGCCCCCAGCCCGCAGCGGTGGTAGCCCCCGGCCCCGCGCCAGGCCACCCACCTGCAGGCAGACAAAGGTGGTGACCCCCGCCTTGAGCAGGCGCCGCAGCTGCTCCTCCCCGACATCCCGCGACCGGCACCGGCTGGGCTCCACAAAGGGGTAGCGCCCCAGCATGACGCGTCCAGGCACCAGCCAGTTGGCGAAGTCGGCAAAGGCGCAGGCGGACTCGTAGTTTTCTGCAGGCAGGTGGCGAGGCAGGTGGAGAGGAGGGGAGGAGGGATGGGAGCGGGGCAGCGTGAGGAGGGGCAGGTGAGTGGGGGGGAGCCCTCCAGAAGGAGATGGCTGGGGCGCTCCGAAGCAGGCAAGGATCCGGCGCGGCGGCACCAGCGGCGTGCATTTCCTGCATAAAGCCGATTGCTGGCGGGCTGGCCGGAGCAGCGAGGAAAGGCGCTCATCTCACCGTCGAGCGGCGCCAGCTCTGGCAGGGGCACGGCCTCGGGCACCACGGCCGCCACCTCTGGCACTGCCTCAGCCAGGGCAGCTGCCTGGCGGCACCTGCGCCGCTGCTGGTGGCTGCGGCTGCGGCTCAGCTGCACGGTCGCCCCCGCCTGCTTCGCTGGCGGCCGCATGGCGGCGGCGGCGGCGGCGCCCAGCGGCGCGCACCGCCTCCTGCTGCCGCCGCTGCTGCTTGGGCGAACTGCCTGGTATGCTGGGGGCCGGCACTGGGCGCCCGACGCGACCGTGGCTGCCATGGCTGGAAGCCGCACCCGATCTGCAGGCCGCGCGCACCACCACAACCCTGGGCGATTCTCTGGGTTCAGGGAAGGTCCGAGAAAGCGGGCAATGCGGGTGGCGCCGGGCATCAGGATCAGAGTTTTCCAGCAGCCCGACCCAGGCCCCGCCACGCAAATCCCTCGACCCCTTCCCCGACCGCCGCCCCATCGCCCCTGCTGTCCGCCCCTCCTCCCTCCCACCTCTAAGCAGCCGCCAAATCGCCATGCAGGCCGCCGTTGCGTTCAAGCCCGTGGCTGCCCGCCCCCAGCTGCAGCGGGGTGAGTGGCAGCGGCCCGGCCCGCCCCTCAACCCTTGCCTGGTGGCCCGGCAGAGGCCAGAAACGGGGGCTGGCGCCCCCATCGGCGCCCCCGCCATTGGCAGCCGGCCTTGCGTAGTAGCGTGCCGGCTGGTTTCAGCTCGCCACGCCCCTCCCGGGCCCCTCCCCGCCGCTGGCAGCCCCTGCCGAGCGCCCGCCTGCCCGCGCGCCCTCCCCCTGCAGCCCAGAAGGCCCGCAGCACGCTGGTGGTGAGGGCTTCGGAGGCGGCGGCGCCAGCCGCTGAGGTCAAGAAGCCCGATGTGGGACCCAAGCGCGGCACCTTTGTGAGCGCCGCTGCTGCCGCGTGTGAATGGGGAAGCAGGATCTGGAGCAGCTGCTGCAGGGCACCCGCAGCGCTGCTTCGGACTGGACTGCCGCCGACGGCACCACCACCTGCCTGCTGCGCGCGGCGCTTTCTGACGTGTTGGTTGTTTTGTTTTGTTTCCTGTCCTGTGCAGGTGCGCATCCTGCGGCCCGAGTCCTACTGGTGGGTGCCCAGCCATCCAGCCGGCCGGCCAGCGATCCAGCCAGCTCAGTTCGCAGCACGCACGCACAGTGGCATATTTCCAGGCCGTGCACTCGCCAGCATGGCAACTTTGTACAGCAGTACAGCAGGCAGCCAACCAAAGCAGCATGCGACAGCCAAGCAGAGCAGCGGTCCCTGCAGCTAGCCACAGCAGCACAGGGCAACTTACGGCAGCTTTGCCGGCGACGCTCTGGCCTTACCTCCGATCATCCCAACCCTTTCCCCTGCTCCTCGTTCCTCCCCGCAGGTTCCGGGAGACTGGCAAGGTTGTGTCTGTGGACCAGAGCGGCATCCGCTACCCCGTGGTGGTGCGCTTCGACAAGGTGAGGGAGGAAAGCGGGGTGGAGGGTGGATGGGACAGCCCGGGGCGGCGGAGCGGCAGGCAGAGCACTGCACGGCACAGGGACAACCAAGCAGCACCTGTTGGCGGGGCCGTGCGCCGCGGCCATGCCGGCACGGTGGGTGGTTGCCGCACCGCGTCGTGCGGTGGCGGCCTTGGCGGCGGTGCTGACCTGGACCATGCCTTGATCATGCCTGGTCCGACCCCGCAGGTCAACTACGCTGGCGTGTCCACCAACAACTGTGAGCGGCGGTGCTGGCTGGGGAGCGGCGCCCGCGTGCATGCCCATGCGTGGGGGCGGCGGCGCCTGGACGATTGATGCGTGGAGGGCGCTGGCGTCGGCGGCGCTGAGCGTTGGCCGCGCCTGAGCAGCCGCGTCGTTTGGCTCTCATCAACCGTTTCCTTGTTCTCCTTAACCGCTTTGCCGTGCAGACGCCCTGGACGAGGTTGAGGAGATGAAGTGAGGCGGCGGCAGCTGAGCGAGTCCCCCACTCGCGGCAGCCTGGCGTAGGCAGCCGCAGCCGTGTCGGGGGCTCGGGGCCAGGCTCAGGGGAGCCGAGCCGTCTGGGCAGCTTGCCGTGGGCAAGAGGGCGACCTCGTCCTCGGACCCTCTCCTGCCCGCACCTTGCTTGCTTTGTACCAACTCACCCACCACCACCCACCCACACTGCTACTCATGTGCTCAGCCGCACACCGCACCCCACACCCGAGAAGAAAGAATTCCCTACACCACGCTTGTGTGCTATCGTAACCTCTTGAGAGCCGCCCTTCTGTAAGCGCGGTGCCGCTACCAGCGACACAGGCGTCAGCCAGTGGCGCACAGTTGCAGGAGGAGCGCAAATGAACAGGGTGGGGCGGCTGGATCGCGGGTGCACCGGCGAAGGGCGCCTCCCGTGTCAGCTGGCGTCCGCTGCCGCTCCGTTTGCCGCTGCGCCAAGCTGCTGCGCCTGCCCCTGCCGCCCCTCCTCCACCTCCCACCACAGCGGCGGCGAGGTGGGCAGCCGCGCGGTCAGCACCTCGCAGCCGTCGGGCGTGATGAGCAGGGTGTGCTCGAACTGCGCCGAGCGGCGGCCATCCTCTGTGACGGCGGTCCAGCCGTCGGGCCACGTCTTGTCGCGGTGGCTGCCCTGGTTGACCATGGGCTCTGTGGGGGCGGAGGGGTGGCGGGCAGGGCAGGAGGGAGTGTGTGGGTGGGGGTGATGGGGTGGTGGAGGCGGGGAGACGGGGCGAGGGGCAGGGGGCACGCAATGGGCATGGTGGGCGGTGGGTGGAAGAAGCGATGCGGGTAGATAGTCGGCACCCCAGCCTCCCGGCTCCAGCCCGGCACCCGCCCACCTATGGTGAACACCTCCCCCACTTTCATCGTGCCCTTGGCCTTGTTCTTGGCATAGTGCGGCACGTTGGGGGCGCAGTGGAACAGGTCGCCGATGCCGTGGCCGCAGTAGGTGCGCACCACGCTGAGGCTGCACGGGGAGGAAAGAACGGGCACAGGGAGGAAAGAACGGGGAATGAGAGGGACGACGCCGAGCGGGTGGAAGGTCTGGGCAGCACAAGCGGGGAGCTGAGGGGGCGCCCCACGACACCGCGCTCAAACCGCAACAGGCGGCGCATGCGGGCAGCACCGCGGCGCCGCGGCCGCCGCGGGCAGCGCGCCGCCACCCCTGTGCGCCCACCCGTGCGCCTTGGCGTGCTTGCTGATCACCTCCCCAATGTCGCGGTAGGGCGTGCCCGGCTTGCAGATGGCGATCGCCTTGTGCAGGCACTGTTGGCGGGGGGCGGGCAGGGAGGTAGGAGAAGGCAGCGGGCTCGGCACGGCAGGCAGCACGGCCCGTGCAGGCAGCACGGCACGGGCGACACGCGGCGAGCCCCGCCTGGCGCCAGCTCGGCGCCGCCGGCCCAGCGCTCACGTCGTGCGTGACCCGGATCAGCTGCCTGCTGGCCGCATCCACCTCCCCCACCACAAACGTCTCGTTCAGGTCCCCTGCAGGCCGCCCAGCAGGGCCACAACACACGGCGGCGGCTCGGCAACGGCAGCGCAAGCGCCCGCGCCCAGAGGGCCGCGGGCCCGCGGGCCTGGCGGAGGCCGCCGCAGCGCTCCGCCGCCGGTGGCGACAGCCCCCGTCGGCGGCCGCCGCGCACTCCATAGCCGGCGGCGCACACGCCCGCGCGCGCCGCGGCGCAGCCTCCCGCGCGCCGCACCCGCGCGCCACACCCACCGTGGTACCCTGCTTTGTACACCGACACATCCACGTTGATGATGTCGCCCTGCTGCAGCGGGCGCTTGTCGGGTATGCCGTGGCAGATGACCTCGTTGATGGAGGTGCAGACAGACCTGGGGTGGAAAGTGCGGCGGGTGGAAAGTGCGGGGAGGTGGAAAGTGCGGGGAGGTGGAAGGTGTGGGGGGGATGGTGTGAGGATGGTACGA